AGTTGTTAAGCGTCTGCCTTCGGCTCAGGTCATGATCCCAGGGTCCTGGGATCGAGCCCCACATCGGGCTCCCTGCTCTGTGGGAAGCCTGCTTCTCCCTCTTCCACTCCCCCTGCTTGTGTTCCTGCTCTTGCTATGTCTCTCTCTGTCAAATAAATAAATAAAATCTCTTTAAAAAAAATAAATAAATGATAATAAACATGTCAATATATTATAGGACAGAGCTAAATGAGTTAGACATAAATAAATGGCTTATGATCAGAAATAATAGGTTTTTCTAATTTATTTTTTTAAAATAACTTATGCACTGAAATAAAGGAGCTGGGAAAAAAGCAATAGAACAAAATAAACAAAAAGAAATGAGAGGAAAAAGCATTGGTATTATCTATATTATTTATATTATCAATGAAATAAAGAAACTCCCACCCTTGAAAAATAGTGAAGATTAATAAACTAAAATGGATCTCTACAATAGATACTTCAAATACCTTAAATGTCAATAATGAAGAAGAGGAAAAGGAGGAGGAGACAGATAGTTAAGTAGGAAGAACACTCACAAAATATAAAATAAAGTTCATTTATTGGGTCAATGAGGAAGGAAATGCTGAACCACAAAGCCCCTGGAAGGGCATGGATACAGTAAGACCCTGAAAATACCTGGGAACAGGGATTCCACTGGTAACAACATATTCTTAACTTATTCTTACTCCATTATCATATTTTCACCTCCCCTTATTTAGCATTAAATTATTTTTGTTAATTCTTAGATAGCCTATATATATTCAGTGATTTTTTTTCCCATCCAAGAATCACATGCAACAGATAATTTTCCCCCCATTTTCCAATTTCAAAAATTTAAAGACTGATTGTTCTGGTTTTAATAATCAGTCCTTGATGACCATGTCCCAGTTTTTATCTGAGTTAATCAGATAAAAAAATAAAGGAGAAGGAACATCTGGGTGGCTCAGTTGGTTAAGTGTCTGCCTTCAGCTATGGTCATGATCCCAGGGTCCTGGGATTGAGTCCTGCATCGGCCTCATTGCTTGGTGGGGAGCCTGCTTCTCCCTCTGCCTGCCGCTCCCCCTGCTTGTGCTCTCTCCTTCTGACAAATAAATAAAATCTTTAAAAATAAATAAAAAAATAAAACTTCATTCAAGAGTATTTTCAAAACAGATTCCTGTTTGCCAAACATTCAAACATCTAGTATGGCTTAGGGCATCTTTATTACCTTCTAATATTTAAATGAAAATTTGGATGGTTATAAAATTGTAGAATTACAAATTCTTTTTCATCCCTACATTAACCAGAGTAAGGTATACTCCATTGTTATAGTAAACTATCCCAAAATATCACAGTAAAGTTTATTTCTTGGTCATGTCTGAGGCAGATCAGGCTGCCCTCCAATGGAGCCTTCTCCATAGAGTGACTCAGGGATCCAGGATACAGAGGGCAGAAATCTTTGTTTTATTAGTATTCCATCAGCCTAGAAGAATGCAATGTGCTTAGTGAGTGCTCAAGAAATATTTGGTGCATTAATTAAATAGTGAATAAAAAGTAAAGGAAAGCATAGAAAAAGTTTGTAGAGTTGTACTATTGAGGAAGTTGGTATTTATAAAATGTGGTCTGTTTAATGTATCAACATACGCCAAGATGAAGTGCTGTAGGACTTTCTTCTAATTTAGAATCCAGTTCATTTGCATCTTTAACTGAGTGTGAAAGGATGCCTAGACACATAAATATGGTGGTGTTTTTCTTAAGAGTGTGAGAAAACTTCCTTAAAATACCAGTTAATTGAGTGTTAGAGGAGAAAAAATTGGAGAATACAGAGCATATGATGAATCTGGTTAGTTCCCAATTTCGCCATTGTCCCCCTGTTCCCTTCATCACTTCTTCCTCTAACTGCGCCCCATGGTTTACCATCCAATACATTTTCAATAGAATTATTGGGTAATATTTATTTTGGGTTTGTTACAATCCAAAATGAGTTGTAGTTAGCTGGTCATTCGTAATTGTTGAATCGAGTCTATCCAGTTTTATTTCTAATTGTTGTAAATTTAATTATAATTTTTAAAGGAATATGCCAGTTTATAAAATATATATTCCCATAAATAAATTTGCCAGGCTATAGAAATTTACTACCTAACAAGAAATCACAATCTTAACCATCAGATTTTTTGTTTTCTATTCATGGCTGCACATTAGAAAGCTCAGAATAGAGTTAAGGGACCAAAAAAAATGTAGTTATATTAGTTACATTCTAAGAATTATTTTCACACCATGTCCTATTAATAATACCCTATCAATAAGTCATTGCTACCCAAGGAAGCACTGGAATGCCCTGTAGAGGTACGTTTCCTCTCTTATACTTTTGAAGCTAACCCCCACCTTGCTGCTACTTTAGCAAGGTGACTTTCCTGACATTTCATATATCATTAATTATTTTTCCATTTTGCTTAATCTTACCACCCTCAGTAATTTGTCATATCCTTTGAATTCAGACACATGTGGTTGCACGCTAAAGGGACTGAAACACATCAGGAATCTAATTTTTCTTGACAACTACATTATGTCACCTCTAGCATTGGCATATTTTAAATTTCTGTGTTTTCTCCTGATTTGATTGACACATAGCATACTAAATTGCCTTAGCTCTTGAATGTATTTGATTATAGCCCCAAGAACTCAACCCCCTGATAAGTGAGTATGCTATGATTTTTAGAAGCAAATATTCTTATAATTAAAGGAAACCTGTTATCCTCACTTATTCCTGTCAAGGAATAGCTTTTAATTTAGGACTAGAACTTCAAAACTTACTGGCTTATAATACTATAATTCTGTTTGATGTGTGGAGTAACAGAATATTACTATTCTATACTATTTAGCTTTTAGTTTACCCAAAATTCCACAGTAGTGTCTATTCTATAAGAATTAATGACTATAAGTTTCTTTACTTTTTTCTTTTAAAGATTTTATTTATTTATTTAAGAGAGTGAGATAACAAGAGAGAGCAAGATCAGGGAGGAGAGGCAGAAGCAGGCTCTCTGCGAGCAGGGAGCCCAACACGGGGCTCGATCCCAGGACCCTGGGATCAGGGCCTGAGCCGAAGGCAGACACTTTAACCAACTGAGCCACCCAGGCACTCCTAGCTTCTTTACTTTTAAATGTGCCTCTGAAAGAAACCTAATTAATATATTGAATTCACCTAGCCATATGCCATGTTTACAGCCTACATCATTTTCCTGAAGAAAAGCAAAATGATAAGGAAACGACATTCACAATAATAGTTTGGCAATTTCTTTAAAGATATGAAAATAAGATCATTATCTTTCTCCTTGAAACAAAAAGGATATCTAAAAAGGGATATAAATGCAAATAATCTGGTTTTAAAAAATAGTTCTTGGTCTCTGTACTAGTTTCCTAGGGCTGTCATAACAAATTACCATAAACTGGGTGGTTTCAAACAACAGAAATTTGTTCTCTCCCAGTTCTGGAGACTGGAAGTACAAAATCAAGGCATCTCTAAGGCCATGTTCCCTCTGAAGGCTCTAGGGAAAAATATTTACTTGCCTTTTCCTGGCTTCTGGCAGCTCCCAGATACTCCTACATTCCTTGGCTTCTAACATCAAGCTAAATCTCTGCCTCTGTCTTCACATGGCTTTCTTCTCTCTTTATGTCTTTACATGGCTTTCTTTTCTATATGTCTCTGTCTCTGAATCCCCGCCCCCCACCCCCCGTTTCTCTTACAAAGACCCTGTGGTAGGTTTAGGGCCCATCAAATTCAGTAAGACCTCTTCTTAACAAAGCGCATATGTAAGGATTGAATGTCCAAATAAAATCACATTCTAAGGTTGTAGGTAGACATGAGTTTGGGGAGATACTGCTCAAACCATTATAATCAGCATTTATAAAGTAGAATAAATAAGAAAACACTTCCTGAAAATGAATCTAACAGACAAATCATTTTAAAAGCTAATATTAATTGTCCACTTTTCACTAAATCCTAGTAATACTATCTCATATCTGCCCATATTATCTATTGCAGCACATGAGACACCCCAGTACTCCATGTGCTTTTGCTGGGACCGCCTCTTCCCTGGTGTTGGCACTGCCTGCTCGATCACTGCAAACAAACTACTTACAGGACCAATTATAAAGAGAAATCTATTAATTAGAGCTGATTACCACTTATTTGGCCAGCCCCAAGAGCGAGGAGAAGTGGGAAAAAATGAAGCGGACCCTGTTAAAAGATTGGAAGACCTGTTTGAGCTACTTCTTGCAAAATTCATCCTCTCCTGGGAAGCCCAAAAATGTCAAGAAAAGCAAACAGCAAACCTTCATCAAGCCTTCTCCTGAGGAAGCACAACTGTGGTCAGAAGCATTTGATGAGCTGCTGGCCAGTAAATATGGTCTTGCTGCATTCAGGGCTTTTTTTAAAATCTGAGTTTTGTGAAGAAAATATTGAATTCTGGCTGGCCTGTGAAGACTTCAAAAAAAAAACCAAGTCACCCCAAAAACTGTCCTCCAAAGCAAGGAAAATATATACTGATTTCATAGAAAAAGAAGCTCCAAAAGAGATAAACATAGACTTTCAAACCAAAACTCTGATTGCCCAAAATATACAAGAAGTTACAAGCGGCTGCTTTACAACTGCCCAGAAAAGGGTCTACAGCTTGATGGAGAACAACTCTTATCCCCGTTTCTTGGAGTCAGAATTCTACCAGGACTTGTGTAAAAAGCCACAGATCGCCACAGAGCCCCATGCCACATGAGATGAGAAAGGGAGCCCAAAAGTGGAGGACATTTCATTTTTTGCCTAAAGGGAAAGGCTGTGACCTGCCAAAAAGACTGACCTTAAACAGCATGGGTGTTCAGGAAACATCACTCAGAACTACTGATTCAGAGTTAGTGAATTAGGAAGCTGGGAACTGTCTAGGAGAAGCTTGTATTGGGACAGCTTCCGTAGCTGTGTCCAGAACACAGGGAAAAAGTGGTCTGCATGTGATGGGTCTCACACTGGGAAGGCAGGAATGTGAGACCCCAAGGTATGATGTGATACTGTTGGTCCAAAAGCATTTAAAAAATCAGTAGGTCTGGGATTATTTGGCCTTAGCTAGCTGGCTGTGTATCTTTCCCTAAATCAATCCATGTTACCACATAGTGGTTTTAGTTTTAGTTATTTAGGAATAAATAATATTAAAATGTTTACTGTGTGCAAGGATGTTGAAGTTCTTAGGACTACAGATCATCAGTACTGTTGTCTCATGTAACACTAAAACTGAAACTAAAACTGAAACACTAAAACTACCACATATATATATATATATATATATATCAGCACAAATCCCATTAGGTCTTTATTCCTATTTACCTAACTCATTTGTAAGTAGAGTGATCTTAAACTTTGTCTTCCAAATAAGGCCACTTTGGAAAGTGGAGGAAACACTATTAAGAATTAAACTGGACCAACAAGGACAAATGGAAGCAGGCATATGTTCACTCTACAAATAACTGTCCTTCAGCAAACAGGTCTTTATTCCTATGTCGCCAGCCACTAAACTAAATACATGTGGGACTCCGCCCTCTGCATTTTTCAAACCCTTCTGCTATGCCCTCTGGAATGTATGTGAGCCGTCGTCCATGAACTGTACACTATCCCCAAACTCTGCATGCTCCCTTTTGTTCCTTCTGAAACCTAGCTGCAAATACCTCCAGTGAGGATTATTCCAACATTTCTCTTACCAAGGAGACTGGGGTGAAGTAGGTGTCTTCCTTATTCTTCAAAATGCCATTTCCTTCCTAAAAGACATAACTGCACACTATACCACTGAGATGCTGAACGCTTTTGTGGTTATCTAGTAAGCAGCAAATCATCCCCCCTCTATACAATTTAGTTTTTTTAAAAAAAGATTTTATTTATTTATTTGAGAGAGAGAGAGAGAGAGAGCATGTGAGCAGAGGGAGAGGGAAAAGCAGCCTCCCCACTGAGCACTGAGCTGGATGTGGAGCTTGATCCTAAGACCCTGAGATCATGACCTGAGCAGAAGGCAGATGCTTAACCAACTGAGCCACCCAGGCACCCCCAGGTCAATATTTCTTTCACCAGCACTATTTTGATTGTGATTTTAAAGGCAAATAATTCCAACTCTATCATCCATCCAACACCTTGGTTATTCAGTTCCTTCAGTTGACCACTTTTAACGATATTTACCTCCACCTTTCATCAGCCACCTGCTCCCACATGAGACAGCACTGTTGTTCATACAATCTCAGTTTTAAACACCCACTCAAACCACCACCACTCCCATCTCTCCAGTTTATCATTCAGTTATCTTCCCATTCCTTCTGTATCATCAGTGTGTCCACGGTGACTATTCTTGTCATCATATAAACATGCTGCAATATTTCTCATCTAAGGGAGAAAAACACTCTTAATTCTCACCCCCCCGACCCAGCTCCTCTCTTTATCTGGTTCCCTTTGTAGCAGAACTCACTGAAAGTGTTGTCTATTGACCTACCCAATTGCTTTCAATAGTCAGTCACATTATACTTTCATCCCAATAACACTACTGAGAAGCAGGGGAGAGAGCTCTTGCTATTGCAGCCAAGAATTTTCATCTTGCTAATGTGTTTGGACCTCTCAGCAATGATAACACAATTGATTTCCTCCCCCTTCACTCAGCAGCCTGGACACTACATGCTCCTGTCTGTCCTCCTTCTATACTGTCAGCTCCTTCTCAGGATCTTTTGCCCTTTTCTCTTGCTGTCTATATTCACTCCCTGAGTCAGCTCTTTCATTCCCGTGGCATTACACTTCTTGTATATGCTATCGATTACCACATTTTTTCCCTCTCTAACCTGGATGTCATTGTCCAGAGCTCCAGACCCAGGTGTCTATTTACTTACCCATCATCTATCCTTACAAGTCTAACACATATACCAAGCTGAACAGAGCCAGAACAGCTCTTGAAGCCACCTTCCAACTTTTTTTTTTTCCCTCATAGGTCTTCTCTTAATCAATAAAGATCACCATCATTCACCTAGTGACTCAGTGTAGACATTTAGGAAACACTCACATTCTGTTCTTTCCCTCTCATACCACATCCAATTTTTTAACACTGTTGTCTCTTCTTTCAAAAGGTACCATAAATCAGAACACCTCTTTCCATTTGTTACCACCCTACTCTAAGTCACAACCAGGATTCTTGCAAATACAAACATAGTCTCCCTAGGGGGCTTTTTTCTTCCATTATTCTTATCTGAAATCTATTTCCAGCACAGCATCCTCAGTGATCTTTTTCAAAGGCAAGTAAAATCTAATCCTTTCTTGGTCCATCCTATCGCAGGTAGAAAATGTCAATTCTTTATGTGGGCATCCAATGGCTGACTTGGCCTCCCTGCTGCTCAGCTCTCTCAAGCCACCTCCTACCTCTGTTTTTATGGCTTACATCTCATCCAACTGACTCTTTCCTGATGCCTCCTCAAACAAAACTAATTTTTTCCACTTTAGAGTCTCTCTACTTTTTCCCTTCTTCCTTAAATGTTCTTTCCCTTGATATTCATAGTCCACACCCATTTCTTGCAAACCTTTGCTCAGCTATATCCTCAAACCATGGCTCCCTCTCTCCATTACCCTTAAAAAAAAAAAAAAAAGGTAAAATCAAAATTTTCCTGAAAATATAAAATATAATATCATGTCAAAATTACATTTAATTCATCAATTAGGGGAGGAACCAGCAAAATGTTATAAGTAGTTCAAAGGAAAATTTAAATAATCATACATATATATGCAATAAGGAATTCTGAAATAAATTTATAAATAGATGCCAAACCAGTGTATCCACAGGGCAGTGATCAATAGCATTCTGCCACATACAATTTATTTGCATTTTTATGAATGCAATTTTTATCATTATCAGTTTTCTACCTTTTAGAGTTGTAAATTACAATGAAAGGAAGAGATTACTTGGAAGAATACACCAGATAGCACTCTTCGTAGTCTTTTTTTTTTTCCACTTCAAAGTCTTTCATAATATTTACTGACACTTGCTATCTTCTTATGCCCTCCTTTACTTTCCCTCACTGAACTCATTACTAAATGAAAATATATTATATATTCATATTTTATTGTCTGTCTCTCTCATTAGAAAATAAGCACCACGAAAGCATAAAATTTTAAAAGTTTGTGGCACATAGTAGCTGTTCATAATTTGTTGAAGGTTGAAGAAATGTATATATTTCATAACAGATCTTAAATATTAACTGTTTGTGGTCATATTTTTTTAAAAGGTAAATAATGACTCTTATCAAAATACAAATTGAATATACTTCAAAGATTTTATTTAACTCTTTACCCAGTAAGAAACCAGTTCAAGTTAAAACTAAACTGTTAAAACTAGTTTGAAAGAGGGCGCCTGGGTGGCTCGGTTGGTTGAGTGACTGCCTTCGGCTCCGGTCATGATCCTGGAGTCCCGGGATCGAGTCCCGCATCGGGCTCCCTGCTCAGCAGGGGGTCTGCTTCTCCCTCTGACCCTCTTCCCTCTCGTGCTATCTCTCATTCTCTCTCTCAAATAAATAAATAAAATCTTTAAAAAAAAACTAGTTTGAAAGATAATTCAGAGTAAACACACACACATAGGAAATCAGGAGTAGTTTCACAAGAAATGAATTGGTTATGAATTCAAAACTGACCAATCATACCACAATTGGACACATTCATTTACATTTCTATTAAAACTAATCATTGGCATTACTATCAATTTTCTACAACTTATAGCTATTTAAAGTAGCTCAAATATAATGAAAGGTATAGATAATCTGGAATATTAGATAGGATACCTGATAATCTTTTACCTCATTTAAAAATCTTTCAATTTTTTTCTAACATCACATGGACTACAAAAATGTAAGAACATTAGTATGAGAAAAAAAAGAACAAAAACATGAGTAACAGAATTGTCCATATATAGGGAAGATACCTAAACTCTGAATGCTAATCCTCTATTTTTCTCTATTGCCATTATTGCATATCAATTATCAGCCAAAATTTAAGTAAGTCATAAGCCAAAGAAATGTGATTTATTTTTTTTACCATTAATCTTGCATTTTAAAGTATGTTTTGCTAATTATCTTAGGCGTCTTTGTTTACACAGCAATTAAATCAAGTGTTCTGGTTTGGATATTTGTAGAGACTAGTTAGCTTTTCACTCTGTAGTCATATTAAAGCCTTAAGTCAGTTTTGTTTTTTTTTTCCTGTATAAGAGATTCTTCACCACAAGGGATTGTGGCAAAAGATTCCAATATTTAACATGAATCTTGCTCATTGCTTTAATTGCAGCTAATGCTATAATGTGGTGTACTGAGACAGAATTCTGAAGTGGTTCCCCTTACCTGTTTGTATGAGCACCAGGATCCTAATTCTAATAAGAAAATGGGGACCATCCATGCCAAACATTTTTATATGACACAGTAAGTATAAAGTCTGGTTAAGCATCCATGACTTTGATTAAAAAATTAATTTATTATATATTTGACTATCCACAGCTATTGATAATGACCTATAGAGAATTTCTGATCAATGTTATTTCTCCCTAGTGTATATTTCAAGTACCTGGTGATAACTCTGATCCATTGTAGATACTGATTTGTTTCTCATGCTATTTTTGCCCTATGTGGTCTGACTGAGATATCAGCATATTATTTCAGGCCCTTCTTGCTGTGTCTTGGACTTTATCTTTACATTGACTCGAACTAGAGCCTCTGATCACTGACT